TTATTATTGCTGTTATAATTGTCGTCGTAGACGATAGACGAGGCCGTAGTCGACTGATAAGGCACGCTTCCACGTTGAATGTTATTATAATTCCTTTGGAAGTTCGTGTAATCGTTCGGCTGGTAATTGGTGCTTGGCTGCAGGGTCGTCGATTGAACGAACTGACCATTGTTGTTATTATAATTCTGATTATAACTCTTGTACGTAGTCGGTTTCAAGGTGCTGCTGCTCTGGCTGAATCCATTATTCTGCTGATTGTAATTGTTCCCGTTGTTATAAGCATTGTAAACGGTGGTCTTACTAGTCGTACTGACCGATTGATAATTGTTGTAATTGTTCTGGTAATTCGTGCTGGGTCTGTACGTCGACGACGGTGTGTTGTACCTATTCCCGTTCGGATTCCGGTTGAAATTCTCCTGCGGCCTCGCAGTGGAAGTCGAAGACACGAACCCGTTTCTCTGATTATAATTGTTACCACTGTAGAATCCTGTGTACGTGTTCTGATTAGCAGCCGGGGCAGCTGGCGCAGACGTGCTCGATACAGGCGCGTTGTAATCGTTGCTGCTGTAATTAAACTGTTGCTTCCTGCTCGACTTCCTCACTCCCGACTTCTTTTTCTCTTGAACGAACTCTTCTTTATACGTCTTCTCGGTCTCGTAATCCTCGTCCTTGCCGTTTCTGTTGTTGTAAAAATTACCGCTGCTGCTGCCTCTCAGATCCTTGCTACCAGAGTAACTGTTGCTCGATGACACTCGGTTTAAAGTGTTCGCTGAGGAGCGAACCGGGTCGCTCGACTCTGATCGTTGCAGGTGATCCTGAGGCTCGGCGTCACTGCGTATACTGTCGTAGTGCAACGATTCGAGACCTGATCCTATTCGGTACAGGTCGAAGTTGTCGCTGGCGTAATAAAGGGTGGCTGCTTCGCAGTCGACGTCGTACCAGTCCGCGCAAGTCTGGCTCTCCTGGTCGAACGCCGTGTCGTTGGGACACAAGAATCTGTAGAAATTAAATAAGAATAGTACTTTGTGCACCAAGGGCCGAAAATGGGTCTTTCCGGGCGAGGTTGATGTTTGAGCACGAGTGGCAGTCGAGGGCGCCACAGGCGTCCAAGATGAACACGAGCTGCTCAGAACATCATCCGAGCCTGGAAAGGTCCATTCGGTCCGTGTCGCACACAATATTTTTCATAAAAAGGGCATAAAAAAGACCATCTTTCGTCGCCTACAAAGCGGATTGAAAATAGAGTTTTCCCGCCCTAGGGCGGTAAAATCCATTTTACAGCCCTAGAGCGGTAAAATCGAGCTTACGCCGGGCGGTAAAATCCATTTTCCCGCCCTAGGGATTTCGGCCCTTGGCGCCCAAAGTGGATTTTACCGCCCTAGGGCGGGAAAACTCTATTTTCGGTCCACTTTATAGGCGCCGAAAATGGTCTTTTTCGGCCTCGTGTTATGAAAAATGATTAAACGTTTTGCAATAATTAGAAGTAGGCGGTAAGAATATAATTTTTCTATAAATCCGACTATCGACAAGATCGATGAATCGTGGGTGGTAAAAATGCAATTGTCGACCCACTTGTAATCTTGGACGGTACCGGCCACGGACACGCAGACGTGAAACACTTGGCAGTCGGTCTCTGGGTCGGCGTAATAGCTTCCTACGATCTTGTTGCGACAAGTGAACGAAGTTTCCGGCATGTACTGTTGGGAGTATCTCGGCGGTGGTCGCTGCAGCCCCAGGACGCAAGCCCCGAGCGCAATCACTGTAACAAAACGTGAGCTCGTGATCGAGAAAAAATCACTTTCGCTTCCCCCAATTAATTTCATCCGCGAGAATGCAAGAGCGTAGTCTTTTTTACCACACGCGCGAAAGAGCGTGACCACTCTTCTTCTTATTCTTCGAGAATGATTTTTCACGAAGAAGAGATTCTTCAATAGGTTTCAATTTGGTGAACGTACCCCATAGGACAGATACGAGTCTCCCGAATGATTCCATCTTCGCGTTCTTTTCTTCTGTGTTGGATCAAGAGTGCACTGGTAGTTGGATTCGACACTCCCGCGTCGCGTTGCCTTCGCGATTGAGATTCTTAGAGGCGACTGCGGCTCGAACGGCTCGACCGAGAAGAGGATGCCCATCGGGGAGCACCTCTTCTGGGAGGATGCCTCTGGGCCCTAACACTACCAGAGGTAGGGGACTACCGAGAGAAGGCACGCGTGTTCAGAAGGGGGCAGAGGACGTAACGCTCTCCGTGTTCGTTACGTCACCTCTCTTGCTTGCTCGATCACCGAAGGCAGATGCTACCATGCCACTGCACGGAGAAACTATCGGCAACACTTTCTTATTTCAATCAGAATATATTTTCGTCGGAAATATCCAGAGCAACATGCAAATGGTACACGACTTTAGGTTCATAGTTTTCATAAGGTAATTTGTTTAGCTTTCAGCTTCTGCACTCAATTTTATTGACTCATAAACTGCATTTGATTTTTTAATTAATATTCTTATATGTATTTTAGGCTCGTTCTTATTTACGGATGGTTTTGAATAATTCAATCTTTTCCATTTCTACTGTTGGTCTGCTGTATTAAAAATTGGTACTAACCTCGGAACCGACGACACGGAGTCGCCCCGTGGCCTTTGCCGCTCGAAAAGTCGCATCCAGGGAGTGCTGTGTCGCATTCCACAGAGCCGATTTCTCGAACCGCGACTTAGGAGGTTGTACTTAGGTTTTAAAACTACCGAGAAGGGTTTAATAATAGCCGTGAGGACACGGGGAAATCGAAAGGAAGAACGGAGGCGGCTGAAGATCGAGGTCGTACCTCGACAATCGGAATTTCGCAACTGCCCCCTCGCATTCTGTTTACCCTGCGTGAAGGGGACATACTTCCGGTACACATCGTCCGCAAAACAGTGCGTGGGAATGCGGCTAAGAATTTTTCGGATTCCGTTGTGCAACCGAACAAAATTATTAATAGTTTC